GCACCGAATTAAGATTTTTGTAATTAATTTTTTGCACTAAATTACTCAATTAATTTCATTTAGTATTAAATCGAATCTAATTCTATAATTTATATTTTAATTTAGTGTTAAATTGATGAATACTAAATTACTCAATGATTTATTTTCTAGACCTACGACTCGTGTAACGCAAACACGTTAAATTCTACTTATGAAAAACAATGAACATCGACTTAGTATGTTTTTAACATTTTCTATGTTTATCTTAAACTAGACAATGTTCGTTTAGACATGATCTATTGCACTACGATTCACGCGTGTTATCTAATTCTCGAGTGAAAATTCGAAGACAATAACGTTCCTCCGATGCGGCGCAACAATTAGAAAAGAATAAAGAAACTGCAGAATTTGCAGCAATTGTAAAACGTGAACCTGACCATCGATCCTTTCTCCAATATTTAAGCAGGAGAGAGTATTTATAAAACATTCATCCTTTGTCTCATTAGCGGACAGAACATTTACAGCCAGCTGGCATATAGGTTATCGGATTTTCCGGAAATAGCCGACAATCTTTAACGTCCTCGAGATGGGAAAGTGGATCGTGGAAGTTGCTAAGAATACTCGATTCACTTCTATTCAATGCTCTTCGATGCCGATATCCCGGCCGTTCCGCGTCCTTCCGATATCTCTCCCGATGCAACGACGAATCGACGTGTCCCTGAGCTGAACTCGAAATTAGGGAAGGGAAAGTGGAAGGACGAGAATAGAAAGCACGTATTCCCGTTTTAAAGCTTCCTCCATCCACCGGTCGAGTTCGATTTTCTCGTTTCAAGTTAAAGGACACACGAGTAAATAACTCACGATTGGAAAATCATCGATACCTGCTTCCTCTAGCGACCTTACTCGTATTCCTTTCAAATTTCGTTTCAGGTTAGGTTTACTACATTCGGTTAAGGTTAGATTGTTAAGTTGAGGTTAGGTTTGCTTTAAGGTTATCAAATTAATTCTAGGTTAGCTTTGGTTTGACGTTACCAAATTGAGGTTAGGTTTTGGTTTAAGACTACTAAGTTGAGGTTAGGTTTAGTCTACAGTTAATAAATTGAGGTTAGTTTCGGTCTAAAGTCATTAAATTGAGGTTAGGTTTACTCTGAAGTTATTAAATTGAGGTTAATTTTGGTGTAAAGTTATTAAATTGAGGTTAGGTTTGCTCTAAAGTTACTAAATCGAGGTTAGTTTTGGTCTAAAGTCATTAAACCGAGGTTAGAATTGCTTTAAGGTTACTAAGTTGAGGTTAAGTTTGCTCCAATGTTATTAAATTAAGACGAAAGTGCACCAAAGAGCTGGAATATTGTTATTTCGAAAACGCCTATAAGCGGCAATAGAAATGAAAGAGTCGAGAGGGTTAAGCTAAGTAAACGGCTACAAGTAGCTTGTAGCTCGTTGAGCTGCGTCACTCCTGTTTTTTTTTTTTTTCGTTTTTTTTTATATTTTATCTCGAGAACCTTTCACTTCAACGCTACGTGGGAAAACAGCGATTAAAAATAAAGGAAGCGGCGGGAACGTTAACGATCCCGTAGACGAGTTCCTCCTCGGTACCATGCAGCCTTCTAACGACCTTCGAACGCATTATCATTAAGGGTTGAATTAAATTATTCATTTGTCTTGAGAGATCGACCGTGTTTATTAAGCTTCGCCTTGATAACGTGCAATTTCCACTGTTAATGAACGAAATCCTCCATCCCCCCACCGGTTTATTTTTCATATTTAATTTCGACGAGTTTCCTTGTGCAATCGAGGAGAAGATCAGAATTCTTTTCGTCTCAGCTGTGACAGCACGTCTCAAAAATCGTGAATTTCGAGGAAAAATAAATCCAAAAGTGAACTATTTTTATCTGAAAGATTTTTACCGAAAATTAATATTAAAATTATATTACCGAATAAGTACACCAACCCTCAATACCAAAAAAACTATTAGCTAAATTGCAAAAAAAAAAGAAATATTTTCATTGCAAAATGGTTGACAAAAAATTTCAAAGAAATTTCCTGAAAAATTGACTTTTCTCAGTTGTGCCACTATTCTACCGAACCAACGATAATTAAATTATACGAGAAATAATTTGTAGTACTATCTGGATTAACCAGAGAAATATCTTTTCCAGAGAAATCACAGTGTTTACAGGGAGCAAAACGAAGCGACGCACGTATGCAGAGAAAGGAGAAGAAACGTGGCGTGACTGTTGCAAAATATATTTAGAAGGCAAGAAGAACATTGTGAACATTGTGTTCCGACAAAGGGTCCTCGGGTCCTCAGTTCTAATTTATCGCAAGCAGAAAGTTGCATTTTATCTCGAGATTATCACGCGTCTCTTTGAGGAAGTACCGACGACTAACGAACTCGCCGCTGTGCACTCGTAACTGGGTCACGCTTTTCTTAAAACGACTGCCCAATAAGACTCTCCGTAATAAAACCAAACATTCCACGCTTCTTATCAAAAACCATCTCTGAAGAAAGAAAAGGAGAAAAATTCGAGAATTTTCACCGAATTTCACTTAATTCATTTACCCGTCGATAGTCTAATCTGTAATGGATAGTAAACTGACATCGATTTTTGTTCGAGTACTCAAGCGTGACATTTTATTCACGAAAGGTTTAAACAAACAACTGTGATATCTGCGGGATACAAAACTCCATCGATCGCATCCTGATAACCTGCCCAAAGTACAATATGAAAAGGATCCAACATAACTTGCCGAATTCACTGACCATGCTTCAAAAAGAAGATTCAAGTAAAAAAGCTATAAACTTCTTGAAAGATATTGGTTTATACCACCTACTATAGACTGACACCACCGAATAAACTCACTGTGGTCACTAATAACCTCAGAAGGTGTATGTGACCTTAATCACCCAATAAAAAAAAAACAGGTTCAGATACCAAAATTGTACGAAAGAACCCACAATACCATCTTTAATTTAAAAAAAAAAAAGAAAAGAAAAAATTGCTGAACAGAGAAAAGTATTTAAAAGAAAGAAAAGGAAATCTCAAATTTCCACTGAATTCAAACTTAATTTATTTATTTATCGATCATCATTGGTCACGAAAGGGTTAAAGAAACACAGATCCTCTGAATGAACCTAATCCTATCAAAAACGAAAAATCGAATTTTTCCGAATTTTCAAAAATTGAAATTCTCGATGTTTATATTACCCATTGTGTAATACGCCGTCGTTACGCAACTTTTCCGCGTTTTCACTCTTTCGTTTCGTCGCAACTTCCTCACCGTCACCCTGTCCGCGTCGATTTTCCCCGCTTCGTGCCACCGCTACACGACAACGTGAAATGCATCGCGCAAAATCGCTCGTTTCAGGACGCTGCACTTGCACGACGACGGTGCAGCACTTACACAGAAACGTTAGACGCGTGAGAGCCACGACGTAGGTACTGTTACAACATCGGCATGCTCCTGTTCCGTGCGACAAAAGCGTTGGCCACCCCTCGTCCAGGCGAACGAGCCCAGGACCGGTTCCATAAGGAAATTACCACCAGCTTAATTTCACCGGTTGACTACGGTGCGCGAGTTATGTCAACGCTGCTTACACCCAGGGTGATGTACGAGCCTCAAACTCGGAGTAGTTCGAGTGTATATATACGGACAATGAGTCAATGGCTATACTCGACGAAGCTTTGACAGAAATTTGTGGGCAACGTCGATGATATACTCGCTATAGATTGTGGTGTACCTGAGAGAGAGCGAAAGGTGTGATTGATAGCCAGGGAGAATTGGAATTCTCGGAGGTAGTTTTCAAGGGTGACAAATTTTTGGAATGTGCAAGTTCGAGAGATTTTAATTTCCGGTTGAATGTAACGAGTCGATGGCTCGAGGTTTCAGAAATTTGCGGGCAATATCGACGGTTAGTTGCTAAAGATGGACGGTGGCCACGATTGATGGCCAATTGTAAGGAAAATTGGAATTTTTCGAAATTATTTTCAAGGGTGAAAAATTTTGGGAACATTGACATTCGAGAGATTCTAGTTTTCGGTTGAATGTAACGAGTCGATGGCTCGAAGTTTCAGAAATTTGCGGGCAATATCGATGATTACTCGCTAGAGATCGACGAAGGCTAAGAAAAATTTTGGAAATATTGAAAATCGAGAGATACGAATCTTCGTTTGAATGCAATTCTCCGAGGTTTCAGAGATTTGCGGACAATGTCCGTGATTACCCGCTAGAGATCGACGAAGGTCGAGACTGGTTAACACGGAAGAATTGGAATTTTTCGAAACTATTTTCAAGGGTGAAAAATTTTGGAAATACTGAAATTCCACGAAACTTTGACAGAAACTCCCCGAGATTTGAGAGATTAGTGGACAATATCGATGACTACTCGCTATAGATCGAACTTAACGAAAAAATTCATGAAATATCGAAGTTCGAGAGACTGAAACTTAGTATTTTCGATTTAACAAGAATTCGACAATTTTTCACGAATTTTTAATTCGAAAAACAGTTTCCCTACCGGAAACGCACTTCTCAAATTCGCGCACTCAACGTTTCTCTTCACCATTACCTCGAGGAGTTAGATAATTACAAGGCCCAGAGAAGGAGCTCTGAAACTTTCGATAGACGTACGACTGGGTTTATTGATCTCTTGTTTGCGCCCTACAGAAACCTCCGAAACTACTTAAACCCAAATTTCACAATTCCTCCCAAGTGAAACCTACTAATTAAAAACATCCCCCCCTCGTTCTTCCGCCCCAAAAACTAGAATCCCTCAAATCTAACCCAATCCCCAAAAAGTCCTCCGAAAAAGAAAACTGAAAAATCCTTCAACCCCCGAAAAAAGAGAATTGAAAGGTCGCGCACGAAGCGCCTAGCAACCGCAGAGAATCCGCGGATCGTTCGTCGTTCGAATCGCGTGGTAGGTAACGTACCACCGGACGAACGGAAAGAGAGAGAAAAACACAGAACAGAAGAGAAGAATTTTCCGAAAAAGAAAGAAAAGTGGGGGTGTGGCTCACCTAGGCCAATCTTGCGCTTCAGCTTCTTCAGCACCTTCATCTTGCTGCGCAGCGGTGCTAATATGTTGCAGTCCCCGTTGTTGTTCTGCGGCTGCTGCAGCTCGGTGGCGGATTGCTTCCCGACGGGGTGGTGGTGATGATGGTGCTGGTGGTGCGCGTGGTGAGTCTCGTGATGATGGTGGTGATGGCGGTGGTGGTGATGCTGCTGCTGCTGCTGTTGCACGCTCGCGCCGGGACTGGCGAGGTAGCTGCAGCAGTGACAGGGGTGGCTCTTGCTGCCCTTGACCGCGCACGACGCCCCCATAAATGTAGCCGTGGTGCTCTCGAGGTGACGAGAGCAGCCGTGAGATCCCGGGGGTAGGGAGGCCGGACGAGACGACGAGACTGTGAGACGGACGGAATCGCGGGGGCCGAACGAACACCGGCTGATTCACTGATCGCACATCGAGCACACTGTGATGATATTATATGTAGTCGCGTTTGACTTCTCTTCAAACACGGTTGATATTTGCGCAAAATGTACGATATATATGTATATGTTCAAGACGGATATACAAATGGGGGAAAAAAAATTAAAGACGAATGGATACAAAGAGAGATGTATATACGTGTATATATATATATATATACCGACTTCTCTCTCCAACACACACTGAATATATGTATATATTTATGTATATAAATACGTAGAGATATGTGACTTGATCGAGTAAGAGTGAGAGAGAGATAGATTACAGATACAAAGTCTGAATGTTGTCGTGTCGTGAAAGGTGAAGGATTATTTTCGAACCGCGTGACACGAAGACGAGTAACGCAAGCAACAACGCGCGAATACGAAGCGCTTGCGTGCCCCTCGAGCGGCCAGGGACGACTGAATGCTCGTCGACCGAGCGCCAGAGTATCGCCGAGCCGCGCGCGAGCCATCGACCAATCGCTGACGCGCTACCCCCACCACCGTGCGCCCCGACAGCGGCTACGCGCTTGCGCCAACGCGGGGAGGCCGGGGTGGACTCTACGTTTTCTGCCTTCTCTCGATACGAGACGCGCGGGGTTGGAAATTCGAACTGGTCGCCGACTGCACGAGCATTGATCCTGCTAGACGCGATTACTTTTTCTCTCTCTCTCTCTCTCTCTTTCTCTCTCGGTGTGCGCTTCTGCTTCGCGCCGCGCGGACACACCGAGAGGAAGAGTGTTTTCGAGCCGGACACACGGCTTTTGGCTTGGCTAGACCGACACGCTCCCGGTATGGATTTTTGCCGGAGAGTCGATGACTCGGTTTGGCGCTATCGCGAGATACGCCGCGAGTTTCTATGGAATACTTGAAAATGAAACTGTTCACATTCGGTCAGGTATTCGGGGCCGAGTTTCGAGGAACTTTTTGTTCATTGGGTTTCGGTGGTAATTGTGGTATCGGGAAGTGTTTTTTTTTTTTTTTGGTACGTGCTTGGAATTTTTGGGTAGGTTTGTTGTGTTCGAGTGTAATTTCTAGGTTAGAATTTGTAATTCTCTACACTTGGAAAATTCTTTTATTCTTTCTATATGCAAGGTGTCTATAAAGTTTCGATCCATTTTAGTGAAAATTCTTGATAATTTCAAAACAAATTTCGCTAAAATGATAAACACACTTTTTCGACATAATTCAACGCGATCTCAGTGGCACTTTTAAAAAAATTTGGAAATGAAGTAATTTTCTCTGGAAATTTGATCGAAACGTTCTCGAAAACCACGAATTCAGTCCTATAATAAAAGAAAAATCAAAAATAAACGAATGTTTCCTAACGACAGGAGAGAATTCGAAAGGCGAAATTTGGCATTAAGAATGATAAATCTGCGGCGCACATTAGAGAATTTTGCTGAACGGTTAGGACGGTTATTCACGTTTCGGCGATCTATCACGATGGCTCGGTTCCGAGAAAACTGGAACACGGTGATACGGTGAAACTTATGATCCGCCCTGGTGATACGGGAATATGTAAATAGAGTCGTAGGAGCATCGTGGGTGAAGCATGGTCGGTATTCTGTGTTGAAAACGGTCCAAATGGCAACGTTTGCGATCATGAATAATGTAGATCGCGGAGGAAGAGTGCGCACCGAGATATCGTAAGTAGAATTCAGAGTTCCCTGGTAAAACAGGACACCAGATGCATCGAGTGCATCGGTACCTACTTCTTAAATTATTCTCCGGGTGTAAACGAATCGTAAAGCCTGCCGATCGAACGAAAAGCAACAATTCTTCTTCCCCTCGCTAATGACAAGATTACAATCCTTCTTCCTTCGTCTCGTCTTCATCTGGGCACGTGAACTTTCTTCTCTCGCGTCTATTTATCAACACCTGATGACACCCTGAAATTATCGAGATTACGAAATATTTATCGGGTAAAAGTTGATTGCACTTAATGACCGATATTATTTGCTTTCCCCTTTTTTCTTCATTTCTTAATTATTACACGTTTTCTGGTTTATCTGTTTATCCGAATGTCGGAATAAATGTGCAACATTTTTGGGAAAATAATAGTTCGAACATCTTTTTCACGATGAAATTATAGGTTGAAACGTGAACGGAGGATTTTTTCTTTTCTTCTTAAATTAAATTAATGCGATTCGCGTTTGGCTGGAATGGACGAGGTAATGAGCAGTCAAGCTGCTCACCGTGACGGCAGAGGCTTGTTTTGGTTTGCCATTTCGAGTTACAGGATCGAAGTACAACGGTAGAAATATCGTGTTTCCATGGGATTCGAGATGCGTTTCTGGTCCCATGACAGGGCAACGACGATCACGTCGGTAGATACGAGAAATTGGACGAGGAGCGAGGAAAATTTTCAAGATAAACCTACTATCTTAGTCGGTGATCTAAATGAGAATTATGACAGGATGCTTTCGAAGGATCGATCAATTTCTATAATTTATAAGAGGCTTCGTCTGTCTGCCACGAAATTTATGTTCCTTATTTTACGTTATTACGCATTTAAAATTAGTCAAACTTTCAAAATAAACTTTATTCAACTGAAGAGGGTCTTCCAGTGTGACGGTTTCAAAAAATCGATTTTTATTTGTTTGCATATATCGAAAGTGCAACTCTTTAAGAATGTACTCCTGAAGTTTTATAGCTGTAATCAATAATTAGTGTGACATGTCAAGGGAGAATCTAAATTGCACTGAAAACTTTAAACGCGTTTTTCTCGGAACCGTGTTTCCTGAAATGGTTGCCACGATCTGGCAAAAACTACTGGACCAATCGAACTCAAATTTTGCACATGTCTTCAGAACATGTGTGGCTATGGTCGGTGGTAGAATTATGCGAAAATATACATTTTTCTGATTTTCAGAGCCTCTGAAAGACGAAAAGAAGTTGAAAAAATCGATACTTCGTATTCAAAGTGTCGTGACTTTTTTAATTTTCAATATTTCTCTTTTAGTCTACTACCGACCATAGCGACATGCATACTAAAATCACTTTTTTAATTTTCAATATTTCTCTTTTAGTCTACTACCGACCATAGCGACATGCATACTAAATAAGAATCAATTGGATTTTTCCTAGTTTTGATAAGCAGAACAGCTCAAATCATGGCAACCAAGGACCTACTTGTTTCACGTGTTCCACAGCAGCCATATTTATTTTTCAAGAAAAAAAATTTGTAATGATTCTTCAAGGACAAGTAAACACATAGGAATGAAGCTCGTGTTAATAACTGTTACCGTTCTTCTGTAATAAATTAGCAAAGAAGGCCTAAAAAACGGCCGTCACACTAGAAGATCCCCTTAATCCTGAAATGTAAGTGCTCCTCTTCGTGTATATTATTTTTTATATTCTTTATTTACATTATGTTACGTTATTATACATTTAAAATTAGTCAAAGCTTGAAAATAAGTTTTACTCAACTTAATCCTGAAATACAAGCATTCTCCTTCGTGTATACTGTACAATAGCTTCAATGGACACTGAGAATACGTGAAAAGTCATTAATCTAGGTCTGAATGAACACTATAAAATGTTGAGTTAAGCATTCAGCTTAGGTTTTCAAAGTATCCTCCTCGAATTCTATACAGGTACCCTTATGACATCGTTACCTTTCGTAAGAGTTAAATAAATTTAAATTACCAAGCTTTATGCATGCCTTGCACTCGTCCAAGTGACGCCAATGCGGGCTGCGGACCTAATAATGAAAATATTTCTGTGTCGTAATATCTGTGCTCCTTTTTTTATCAAATTTTCCACGGTGAAATATTTGTCTCCTTAAATCATCCACACGAGTGAAGAATTTTGATTTCCGAGAGTAATATGTTTTACATTAATTTACATCAACTTATCTCGATGCATCGTCTCTGTGTGTCCTTCGAGACACTTGAAAAGACTGTTCGACTATTTTTCACATAATAGGAAGTTTATAGAAATATTTCTTGCTCAGCAATCTTAAGATTCCCCAAAGTATTGATAAAATTAAACAATTTCAAGGATGCCCAAAATATTAAAAATGTACCATTTAAGG